GTATTTATTTGTGCTGTTGCTTGTAATTAGATTATTTGCCCTTATTTTCTTTATTTTTATTTGACAATATAGGCTAGCCATTTTTTCCCTAAACATACCGAACTGTACAGAAACCGTGACTCTGAAACCATGATACAAACCGAACTGTGAGTAACTTTAACCGTTACACCCCTAATAGATAGACAGATAAACAGGCAGATAGATAAACAGCCAGCCAGACAGGATTTCTTTGATATCTTTGGCATTGATAATGGATGTTAAATCCACACGTGGACACATTGTGTATAAGCAGACGAGCGCACTTATAAACACAGATAAGGCAGCATGTCCAAATCTGCAGATGCCGCCATGTTGAAACGACATTCCAAGGAGGAGACCGAGAACTCTCAAACTCTTTCAAAACAAAATGGCAAGTCTCAACATGATGAAGCCATTCCACACCATACATAGAAAGAGAAAAAAAAAGAAAAAAAAAACAGTGCAAGTGCTTCTCTTTAGTTTCCAAGCATGAGGAAACCTCTGGTACACTGAGACAAGCCCTTCCGTCACAATACGTTAATGGCCGTAAAGGGATAGTTCATCCAAAAAATTCTTCCATCATTTACTCACTCTGATGTCATGGAACATAAAAGGAGATATTTAGGAGATATTAGAAGAAGCTGCTCTTTTCCATACAACGAATGAGAAATGTAACCACAGCTGTCAATCAAAATTTTCAGTCATTTATAAATTAATTTCATACTGTTCCTCAAACAAAACTATCATATGACTTTGAAAGACTTGGAATGGAGTATGTAAGCTGTACAAACAACTTTTACAACGCTTTTTTGTCCTTTTTGGAACTTGACTGTCCTTGCTTCACATCCACCTTGATTGTAGAGTGTACATTCTCCAAAACATCTCCTCTGGTGTTCCACAGAAGATAACATGAACTTGAAAGGAAGTCTCTAGTGCGAGTGAATCTGGGAATATTCGGGTGGCAGGGCCCTGACGAGTGCTGGATAGTGTCCACAGAGGCCCAAACTGTCAGCAGTCAATGAAGCCAAAGCCACTTAAATGAGTACAGATGTGCCACTACTGAAGAGAGGAAAGCCCTCTGACAGCCACTGCAAATACAGAACCAGCTGTATCGGAGCATTTCAGGAGATCTATCCAAAAACACTGCTCACAAGCAGCCGATTTACAGCTACCATACAGAGAAGAATGAGATCTAGTGCTTCCTCTATAACACATCAAGACAGCATTAGTAACAGACTGATATATCAAATGATATTCTGTCATTTGGAGATTAACAGCCGACAACACTGGCTGGCCGATTACAGATTTGGTAGTTGCCATTTGTGTGTTTAGTTACTGGCATCTGTATCAGTTATTGAAAACCCTCATCAGTTGAGCACTAGTTAAAACTACAATACACTTGAAATTGAAAATCTTCCCCTCTCACGTATAGTTCACAAACCTTTCTTTGCATTAGACTGTAGGAGGAGAATAAATGTTGAAATGAAGTGTTATTTTGTGTGTTTTTGCACAAGATTTATATAGAGAGAGATGTGTTAAGGTTTAAGATTATGTTATGTTGGGATTTACAGGGGTTTCTGGTGTGCTGAGGTTTTGAAAGGTTAAGCGTATAGCCTGTTGTTAGGTCGAAGATGGGCTGCAAACTTTCAAGGCTATATTAACTGCATAATGTTCAATTATACATGCATGTGTATAGTGATAGTCTCTTTCGTTACATTAGCACATGTTAGCTTGCACTGATGTTAACTAACATTTAAGCATAAAGGTTGGTATTAATATGATGTGAGGTAGTTTATTCAATCATTTTGTTTCAAACTAAATAAAAAAAGTGTAAAGTTCTACTAACGAGATCTTTTAAATTTGAACTATTAATAATAATAATAATAATAATAATAACGGTAGTGCAGTTGTATTGCGTCAGTGAATGAAATGTAGTCTCGCGTAGACTGACGGCTGAAGGTCTGGAATCCATGGCAGCTTTCATTGGCATGGTTTGACACCGACATGTCAAACAACCAATCACAGTTCGTTTCGTTCATCGTCACGTTTCGGGGCGTGGAAATGTCGCCACAATAACAGTATTTTAAACGGACGTATTTTAAAGATTCTATGGCGCGAACTTTAAATTTTTCACATACTTTTGAGAATCCAGCGTTTAGTTGATCCTGATAAGCGCTCGTCGTCACAGTTGTAAACACGACGGCTTTCCTCTTTCGTGAGGGGGTTTGGCGTCACGGCATCTTTGTTTCCAGCGGAACGTTAAAGAACGTGACACACACGTCTCCCGGGTATCCTGTATAATTCAACCAATCCGATGACGACTTCGAAACTCCTGAAGTGTTTCCATTTTTGTGTGCCGTATGCATCAGACGTTTAGCCAACAGTCCGTGACGTCTGAGGCTGAGAAATTAAATGTCACTTCTGCTTTTTATTCTGAAACCGGCAGCACGTATCCAAGATTTATGCTTTCAGTTTGAATGGAAATCTTATACAGTATAACAGTTAGTCGATCTAAACCAGTGATTGTGCATTAACAGCGGTCAACCATGTCGGTGCGCAAATGAGCGGTCTGAACTTATTTACACAGCACATTTTTTATTTTGGTTGCGCATGTGCATCTGCGCATCACTTACGTGCACCCCTATGAATCTGGTAACATTTTATTCTATTGGTTGTTGCACATACCATGAAAGTTCAGAAATGAAATGTCCAGCAAAATGCACAAAGGTTAATGCTCTATCACGTTTGAAAATAATGGATCAACTACTGTAAACCTATCCGAAAACATTAACTTGCGATTAAAACGCATTTGCTAAAGCAACCCTTTTAGCATGCTTCTAAAAAAGTCTTTGATCTGTTTTATCGTGACTCGTTTTTAACGGGACTCGTATGTGAAGGCTCCACAAAGCAAGCGCAATGCTGTACCAGGTGAGCTACCGAGCAAGTTTACTATGTCAGAAAAGCCATACATATGGAGCTGCTTATGTGATTCCAACATCAAAATGTATTAGTCTACAAATCATGCACTATGGTAAAAATAAACCTTTATTAATCAATAATTTGCACCTGTAATCGTAATTTCTGTGAAACAGAATCAAAGTTGTTGGTGGTTTCCACTAATGTGCATTTCATGTGGAAATTTAATTGCATGTACAGGTAGTTTTTTGGAGTTTTGCGCAAATGTAGATAGGTGCACATTAAAATCATTAATAAAAAGTGGAAGTGGCCTTATTAATAGGTTAATAAATGCAAATTTGTGAAGGATTAAATCGTACTGCTCTCTATGTAAACTAGTTAAATCTGATGACAAGGAATGCCACTGTAAACAAGCAGAAGACACACTCACACCACAAAAGACTAGTGACATCTACATTACACACATGCCAAATGACAAGCTGCATGCAAACACAGCACTCCCTTTAACACCTGCCAATAATTCAGTCTCTGGTAAGTAAATACAGGCTGATGCTCTTAAAGATCTCTGGCCTGTGAGCAGAGGGAGGACAGACAGAGAGCTCTCTTTTATTCTTCTCCTGCTGGCACCGGTTCCAGCCTATCTTCCGTTTATTTACCTCCGACACACGCTGAGCTGGTCTTTCTCACCATAGAGCACTGCCGGACATTGACCCACTGAGCCAGGCGCGACACACAGATGCCAGTGAACACAAAGACTTCTGACGGAGAGAAGGGGTGGGCAGGACGGATGGCATCATTTCTGGCCTCTAAATGATACATTTGCACAGGGAATAGGATTGATTCTGTACATGTGGGTCAAAAATGGCTTGTGTAATGCCAGGTGTCAGGAGGTAAGGTGTATAGTTATGAATGAAAACATATGAGCCATCTAAATACTGGAAGACAAAACCTTTGACTAACCGCAAAATCAAAGGTCTGAATACAAAAATCTAAAAAAATGTAAAGAATCTATACAATAAGATAGACCGCCACACAATACAAGACACTCAACACAAACAAATCAGTGTCTCTATATATCTATAAACAGAAACCACGTTCGTCTAATCAACATCCACTGTGAAATTGTGCCTAAACATTATTCTTTGATATGCAAAACAAAATAAGAGCCATTCTGACAGCTCAAGTGCTCTGGGTTCACACTGCATTGAGAATAATTTGCATTTGCATCACACACCTACACATCTACATTGTAAATACACGTGTAGATGACATGCAGCAGGAATGTCCTGCATCTCAGTATTGCTGCTGTATGAGCAGCCTACTAGATTTCGCTTGTAATAGCAGGCCTGATGGCGCATGTTACTCATGCTTTCATGACTTAAAGAGGAACGTGATGTTTATATTGCGAAAGAACTGACAGATTGGTTGTTTTGAAAAGGAATGATTCCTTGAGCTACTTTTTTTTTTTGAAAGCCAACAGAAATGAATGAATTTAAAACGAAGTAATTCAGTCTTAACCAAGAAAATGGCCTTTACCTTAATAACTAGAAGGTTTTGAGTAAAAAGTTCAAATGTGCAAATGGTCAAACTAAAAAGGTCATCCAAACTAAAATATCACATTTAAAAAAAAAAAAAATGCCTGATGGGTAACAACTGAAATGTGAAGCACTTTATCAGACTGGGGCAAGTTGTCGCATGTTTTAAATGTAAATACATATACTGTAAAACACGGCTTTTTTTGTTTACTTAGGACAGCAGATTACATTTCAGTAAAGCTATTGTTCTCAAATTAGTTGTCATTGAACAGCCGCCTGTTGACAACTTACCCCATACAGAGTGTGACAACATGCCCCGCTATAGACAACACAGTGCTATACAGCCTTCAGTGATCTTTCCTCCTGTAAAATGTTCATTTTTTGTGTGCACTTGAGACTTTAGTGTTCGTGTGTACGCAGAAAGTGACTCGAGACCCGAGATATATCAATGGAGTAAAAAGTGTGACAACTAGCCCCGGTCTCCCCTACAGATAAAGAAGCCTCTGCCCCGTGGCTTTCTCCTAACGTTACCTGAGCAGACTGGAGAGCGGGTGGGAAGAGCTGTGCCCGCCGCTCCCGACATTCCCGGAGGATCCAGAACCACCCGCAGCGGCCGAACCGGACGACTGTCTCTTCGCGGACAGGAGCTTCTCGACGGCGGCCAGATTCCCGGTGCGTGCCGCCTCCAGCAGCTCCTGCTCCTTCCCCATCTCACCGCGAGCGGAGGAGCGGAGACACGGCCACACGGCCTCACGAGCCCACTGCGCGACGCGCTCTCGTCCCGCTCCGCTCGGTGCACCAGCGGCGGCTGTGTCAGGGCTCGTCCCGCTCCAAGCGCAGCCGCTCCGGGGAGCTTTCTCTCTCTGCGCCGCACACACTTCCTGGGGCACGGACCGACACGTCACTTCCTCCTCGACGGGTGTGCTCCTCGGTGACGTCACGAACCATGCACATCGCTTCATTACACTAATGACGGCGCGACTGATCACTCAAGCTGATTCCTGACAGTTTTCCAAACCAGCTTCAGTTGCGAAAGAGTCTCTTATCAAGTGAAGTATTGTGAACAGTGGCAGCACAGACTTATTTTCTTTGCAATTTCATAATTAAGTCCATTTTGAAGATTGTAATGTTATATTGATGTTGAATGATTAAAATGGCCCGAAGAAAGCGTTGAGTTTTGATTGATTTGGATGAACTGATTCACCGCCAACATACAGAGATACAGCAGCAGAATTTTAAGATCAAATGTATGAATTAGGCCTAATTTGCGTCAGAATGTACTGATTAATTAAAAGACTAAATATTCACTGAAAGAGACTTTGATTTAAGTACACGTTCTCTATTGAAAATTTGATGCGAAGAGCATTTTGTTTTTTTGTTTTTTTTGTATAATTTAAAAGTAACAATTTATGCATTCATTTATTAAACCAATTTTTGATAATAAATTAGTGGCAGGGACATAAATTCCCGTTGTCTTAAAGCAGCAACACAGAAATAGATTAATTAAGTGGAATGAATGATCTATATGTCTCAGCGGTTAAAACTTAGGGGCGTTTATATTATTACATGGATCTGAACATTAATTCTATTTGAACACTTTAGTGTGTATTTTTTTTTTACTCAATGCATATTACAATTTCTGAATTTTAATTTTCTAAAATGTTTAACTTTTAGGTCCAAAAAAAGTTGCTCCGATGCCTGCTGGAGTGAAACAGAGCGTGTCACGTGGCCGTCAGGATGGACCAATCACAGACGATTAGATTATGTTTATTGCTTTTTAAAAAAAATAAACATATTTTAAAAAGCAGGTGCGAATCCTTGGAAGTAATATATTTCAACGATTATAGTTATTTTAAACGGCCATTGTACAAATATCTGCAATTAGACAAATAGTTGGCCATGCAACAGTTATTATAAAGTAAAGAGCGCCACCTAACGGTTGGATCATCGACATCAGCGGTTGAATTTTGGGCTGGTTTACCAACCGCCATAAAACATCTAAAGAGGAAGAAGAAGACTCTTACTTCATGAGAATATAAGGAATAATTGTATGTCATTCTTTTTTTTAATTATATTTATATATAAAGCCTCCTCATTTGTCACTCCACACTCCAATTCAGTTGGTGGCGGTAATGCACTAAAAGTTGGCTTGCCCACTACCAATAAACGCTACAAGAAGAAGAAGAAGAATAAGAAGAAGAAGACTCTTATTTTGAAACGGACCGGATATGGTCGTGACTGCTGAGTCTGAGTGCAGTCTGTGGAAGCGAAAACATTGCTTTAATTGAGTGTTTATAAAACACGGCTGTCGGTCTGAGGTATGCTATTAGAGGATGTCAGTGTTTGTGTGTTTTTGCCATTGTTTTGTCTAACATGTTGTTTCCAATCCAATATGTCAACACAAGAATAGAATATATTATTAGGTAGTGGAGAAAATTATGCATTAAGTAGACACCTGTTTGGGGTGGTTTTTGGGTTCACGTCTGCTGAGCATAAACTAAGCGAGTTTATTTATTATTCTTTATTTAATTCACCTCATCTGACATTAATGAATCTGTCAGCCAAAGCATGGCAGACCCGGCCCGTGTGAGGACCGAAGTGGGGTTCGGCGAGGCGAGCAGGCCCGCGGAGAGACCCAAGCCGGGCGAGGGGTCCGGGGACGCCCCGGGGAGCAGCAGCACCTCCTCTGAACCCGCTGCGGGCCAGACCACTGCGAAAGAGGAGGGCAGAGCGGTCAGTCCGTTTGTTATTCCTGAAGACTTGAAATTATTCGATAGAAAAGCTTTTAGTCATGATTGATCTGAGTGTGCTTCAGAGATCTGCTGCTGGTGAAGAAGAGGAAGAGGGATCTTCATCACTTCATCCTCCTCCTGCCGAAAAACTGAAAGTGGAGCATGACAAGAAAAAGGAGAAGCGGCAAAAAGTTGATGAAGATGAAATAAAAAAGATGCAGTAAGCTTCATGGAGGATTCTTGTGTATTGTGTGTGATGTGCTACTCTGGATTAGGATGCAGAACTCCTCATTTGTGTTGCAGAGTTTTAGTATCATCATTCTCTGAAGAACAGCTGAACCGCTATGAGATGTACAGACGCTCGGCTTTCCCAAAGGCAGCTATTAAAAGAGTAAGTGTATAAGATTCATAACTGGATCCAATAAGAGTAAAACAGATTGTACTGGGTAAACTAATATCTGTTCTTATTGTTATTTAATACTTTGAGACTTGTTGGATACTTGTTAAGAATTGTTATCAAAGACCTGTTTGTACTGAAATGTCTTGCTGGGTCTAATTTAAAGAGAAATAGCATTATATTGTTGTGCAGTTCAGTATATGAATCCAATGTTTATTATAAAATGGTACACAAATTCCCATTAGGATGCTTTAGGTTTGGTTCCAAATTATCATAGAGATTCTGATGGGAACCATGTAAACATTTAGTTTGAGATCTAATTGTCCCACTTTATGTTTGAATTATAACATGGAGGAAAAAGAAAAAAGTGGAAATTGATCGTTTCTGTCTTGCAGCTAATTCAGTCCATCACAGGCTCTTCTGTCTCTCAAAATGTGGTCATCGCTATGTCAGGAATATCAAAGGTGTTTGCTGGGGAGATTGTTGAGGAAGGTTGGTAAGACACTGAAATATGATTCAACGGTAAACCATAAGCCTCACTGATTGTCTCCATAATGTTTTTTTCTGCCATTTCAGCTCTTGATGTGTGTGAGAAGTGGGGAGATACGCCACCTCTGCAGCCCAAACATATGAGAGAAGCTGTCAGGAGACTGAAGAGCCGAGAGCAAACTCCCAACACCAAACACAAACACATCCTCTTCCACTGAGTCCCTCCCAATAATTATTATTATTTTTATTATTACATTTCTGGTGTGTTTGGAATGGACTGTTGTCGTCTTCGGTTTTGTTCATGATGTTTACAGTAGAGGATGCAGTATACATCTTATTTTGTCCACAGTCTGTCCTCTGGAGCAAGCGTCCAAATTAAAAATAATTTTTTGTATATTTTGTAATGTCTGGTTATTTAGAAAACTCTGCAGATACATTATGTGTAATTATATTGTGTGCATGGAAATATAAAAATGTAATCTTTTCACTATTCTTTGAAAGAATGAAAAAATGTAATATTTTGTCAGAACCTGCAATTTCCTTCATCATAGGAGCAGACAATCATAATAAAGCTTTACTAACAACCAGGGATGTACAGAGAGTTCCTCAGGGGCACATGTACACAACAAAATTATAAACACAACACTTTTGTTTTTGCCCCCATTTTTCATGAGCTGAACTCAGATCTAAGACTTTTTCTATGTACACAAAAGGCCTATTTCTCGTGTGTGTTTGTGTGTGTGTGTGTGCATAATTGTAAAAATAAAGTCCTTGAACTTGAACTGCTTACTCTTCACATAATAAGCCTTTTGGTGGCACGTGGGTTTCATTTAACCAACAATGATGGTTCCATCAAACAGTAAATGGTATATCAACATGCAGTATGTAAATAGGAGTAAATTAAAACATGATTGGTCAGCGAAGTGTGGCTGTTATCTGATTGGCTTGAGTAGATGGTGGGTGGAGTCCACGCATTTGTGGATTGTCAGCATATTGATGCTAGAAATGTTTCAAAAACCACAAAATGCACAGCGAGCGATCCACAAGTATACAGGACGCGATTCACAAATGAATGGCAGGCAAAGTTGTGTTTGTGACATAAAAATGTATTTGTGAATATGTTTTTTATTTGCAAATCTCATTTTATTTATTTCTGAATTTAATTTATGTTTGTGAAACTCTGAGATTTATTTGTGGATCTCGTTCTATTTATTTGTCAATATGTTTAATTTTTTGTAAATCTTTTTACATTTATTTGTGGATCATAATCTATTTATTTGGAATAATGCAACAATTCTACCCCCATAAACAAGCATTGACTCGTCTAAACTGTAAATCTGGGCAAAAGTTGTGTAGTTTATTCAGACCGACCAGACTGCCTCATTCAGACTGCTACGGAACTTACTGAACATCCAAAATAATGTTGTGTGTTGTAATAAATGCACTTGCTGTATGTGTGTACATATAGTGGTATTTTTACCAGCTGAGAGCTTTTAAATTTTAATAAAACATTTGTAAAGGAGTCAAAACATCGCCAGGAACTCCTGTGTTGCACACACAAATGAAGATCTGCTATAAGGAGATGGCAGTCCAGACACCTCTACCAAACTGCAATGGATTTTGGTTTAAGTTTTTGATCCATGTTATGTTCATATTCAAACCACAACAGAGTTTGCTTGGAAGCAGACCGAGACCCCTTGTTTGCTGTGGCCCAAGGTTGAGATGACAGTGTTCAAACATATTCAAATAAACCACACTAACAGAGCGATCGCACCAGAGTTTGTTTTATTCAAACCAAACCTGCCAAGTGTGAACACACCCTTAAAGGGATAGTTCACCCAAAAATAAAAATGTGATGTTTATCTGCTTACCCCCAGGGCATCCAAGATGTAGGTGACTGTTTCTTCAGTAGAACACAAACAGATGTAGGTGACTTTGTTTCTTCAGTAGAACACAAACGAAGATTTTTAACACAAACTGTTGCAGTCTGTCAGTCTTATAATGGAAGTGAATGGGAATCACGGCTTTGAGAGTAAAAAAAAACACACAAACAAAACCAAATTAAACCCTGCGGCTCGTGACGATACAATGATGTGAAAAGACACAAAACGATCGGTCTGTGCAAGAAACTGAACAGTATTTATATTGTGTTTTACCTCTGATTCACGCAATGTCCGAACTGTTCGAACTGTCCTGAGCGAGTTCTCAACAGCAGGCGCGTGAGGCGTCTTCTTCTTCTTCTTGCTTTATGGCGGATCGCAGACTTATAAGTGCATCGCCGCCATCTATCTCTCAAATGGACCATTGACACTCTATCTACAATCTCAATTAGGAGTGTCAATGGTCCATTTACATCTTGGATGCCCTGGGGGTAAGCACTAAGCAGATAAACATCAAATTTTAATTTTTGGGTGAACTATCCCTTTAAACTCAGTGGGTATGGCACATTAGGCTCAATCGCTCTGCGGTGAGAGTCCCAGCTGAGCCGTCCTGTGAGGAGTTTGCTTGTTTTCTTCATCTTGATGTGGTGTGCAATATAAGCTGTTTTCCTTTTTGCTCCAAGCGAAGCCACAACAGAACAACAGAACAGAACACCGTTGCAACAATTAACTACACAGATACTGCTTTTCCACCGGAGCTGGAGCCGGAGCCCAGTTGGGATCTGGGCTGTGCTTCTCCACTCAAAAAAATCCTGGTCTCAACAAGGGATCCTGTGACGTCAGTAGGTGGATTTTCCACTACAGACCACAGTTTGACAGACACATTTTTAAAAGCCATCGGATTTCAGATAAATGAACAACAATAAATATGTCAGTTCAACAGTGGTCAGCAAAAGAGACCAACACCCTCCTTCTGCAAGAGATAACAAGCGATTATGGTCACATGTTGGTGACGTAGAAGGATCTGCTCCCTGCCAGTGGAACTGGAAATATGAGCTGGTTCTCATAGCCGTGGGAACATATTTTATCTGGGGGGTGCTGGGGGGGCGGGGCTTGATGTTGCAGGGCGGGGCCATGGTGGGGGATTTTTGACAAAATCCTAATATTAAACAGCCCAAACTCTTATAGATTAACATACAAATGAAGACAGAGTTATATGCGAACCCATATATATTCGTGCTTTTGTGATTTTAATTCAATAATTTTTTCTTTCATATTTCTGTTAGAGTTTTTGTCATGGATCATGGCTGTGACCGTTTTTGACCCACTGTCTTGAATATTGATATTGAAATATGGTTAAAGTGACGTGCTGAATGCAGTGACAAGCATTCATAATTAACTAAAATATTCTTTAATGTAATTTCTATTGAAACTTTTATGTCATGTATTTAAATATATTTGTAATTACACATTTGTAATGATTGAAATTTTGTACATGTAAAATATATTAACTTTAAATTTAATATTGAAAAACACACAGCAGTTAAAATGATAGTCAATTACTTTATAAGTGTACTTTAAATATGACAAAAGATTTTAAAAATAATGATTTAAAATGTACTTTAAAACTTTTAAATTGACATGATTACAAAGTGCACTTAAAGGCACAATATGTAAGATTTTTTTATTAAAATATCCAAAAAAAACACTATAACAGTGTTATATATTTTGCTGACTTGTGTACTTAAAATTATCCCAAAATGTTTAGAAGAATGTTTAAATCCAGAGAAATAAGCAATTTTAACTAGTGACACGGACCGTGTCCATTGTGTCGCATACGCGCCCTCTAGCGGCGAAAATTACATATTGTGCCTTTAAGGGAATTTTACTAAATATTAACATCGCTGATGCTCAAAATTTTTGGTCAGTGCACTTTGGCGAAATCTCTCATTAGAAACAACAAAGTGCAGATGTACATGCGATGTAAATAAGAGATTAACTCACCATACACTGCAGACAACATCATTGATTATAATGTTTTATAATGATTATAATATAATGTCTTTGATAATGTAAATATTCTTTGCTTGCTGTATAATTTGTTCGTTGTTTGAATAATCGTGGACATGCGGCGTTATAATTAAACTTAAAATGTATTTTTATTAAACGTGATCAGGTTAAATACAAATTCAGTCTTATTAAAATATTTTATGTCATAATACTTGCCTAAAACGTTATGATGTGCGTAGTTAATAGATTACATGAGGCTACAGTGGTTTGAGCATGTTTATCCAGAGACTAGAGCGCTATTAAAGAGATGTGCTTATGTGATTGACGGTGGCCGTCTTGAGAAGCGAGAAGCTTGAGAAGCTTCGGAAAATGGTTCATAAAAAGGACGAGGACGTGAATGGTTTTTACAAGTCGGAATGTAAAATTACGGTAGGCTAATATCGCGCAAGAAAAATACATCCGCACTGGGCTATATATTTCTGGTCAGTTTAATAAATAATTAATCACAAAACTATTACAAAAATTAGGGGGGGGGGCACCCCTAGTTCCAACGGCCATGCTGGATCTGAACAAGTGCCACTCTTGGCCGAGCACCAGCTCCAGCTCCGGCATCAGCCTTAGTGGAAAAGCGGTAAAGTAGCAGGGTTTCGTTACTGAATGAATGAGCGTTTTCAATTAATTGGTTAAATGAATGATTCAATGACTCACTCATAAACAGCCACTTGTAATGATGTAACCTGCAGAAAAATCCCCACAACCAGTGTATAGACCGTCTCTGGAAGCCCCAGTGTTGTTATCGGTCCTGTTTCAGGCTAGTGTTCAGATGTTTCAGTGACTCTTACAATGATAAAGACCTTATGTGTCAGAGAAACAAGTGTGCAGCCATTTTTAGAAATTTGTCTTTGAACTTCCATTTTTGCGGCAGCTCTATAGCATCACCCATTCTTGTTGGCGAAGCAGAATTGGCAATATTGTATCTAAAAATAAGTTACTCAACATTAACTTAACTTCCATTTCTCTACAGCAGAATTACCGTTTTGGACATTTATTCAGATTTTTATTTTTTTTTAACAGTAGCTTATAAAACTACTATATTGTTCATTTCTCAGTTGAATAAGTGTATTGATGTTAGAGAGAGTAACTCACAGAAGATACACAAAGTTCAACTTTAAGAAACATTTTATTGATCATCATTGGTCTTGACATTTGCACACAGTTATGGTTCACAGAACCAACAAAATATTAGTTTGTTCGAGGACTTTAATGGTGGTGACAGAAATGTGAATTTACATTAGAATATGGTAATGAAGAGATTAGAGGTCAAACTAAACCCATGAATTTCAACCATAGCAGGTCTTGAGGGACATGAACAGTGATGAACACGTACCATTACAGACATCAGATAACCAAGCACAATTCAACAATTCACAACTTCCCATAAACTTGATAATCATACAATCTTACATTGTATCTGCTGCACAAAACATTCTGCTCTGAGACAAACCACATATCCGGCTTTACTCTGGATATGACACATGAAAATGAAAACTGTATCAGGTGTCCACCTGAATCCATAGTTATGCAACGACATGCTTTAATATAAGACTTTTCTCTAAAGATCCCTTTGATGAAATAGAGATAATTGTTGACAGTAATAATAATAATAATATGGATGGCAGCTCAGACCAATTAGTGAATTTGATGGGAAATGTTCAAATTCATTTCGAAATCTCTTGACTTTTGATTACAGACTTTGGCATCTTGGAGAATATGAGCACAATTTTGAGATCTTTTCTGAAACTCTAAAGGAGAAAAATGAAATGATCATGCATGTAAGGACATTTCTGTTTCTTACAAATATATCGCAAAACATTAACGAGAGCAACGTTCATTCGGAGATGAGCAGACCGATCATTCTGTTCTTGAGAAACGATCAGCCACACTGTCGGACACCTTCATGTGTAACAAACAAAACATTCATCGTACTGGACAAATATGATTAAACTGCACACATAGAAATAGAAGTAAACTCAGTACCAACTACACAGCTAAAACAAGCAATACAATTAGTAAAACCGGGTCAATATTTACCATACGCTTCTTCTGATCACAGGCAATACTCATCAACAGTGTAACAATGACCCTTAAATAAAATTAAATATATAAAAGCCTCACTCAACAGTCTGTGACCTCGATGATGTTGCACTTGTGAAAGATTTCAAGTAAAGTCATGCATATAACACCAACAAATGTTTTTTTTTTTCCTTCCATGCACTGAATGAAGTTATTTTTGATCATAGGAATAATATTTCCATTTCTACCATCTACAGAAAAATGTCTTTACAGTTTAGACTATCCTAAGGTTTTTGGAAGACAGGAATATCTTGATCACTAACAGATTGTTTAGTGTATATGAATGCTACACATTGCACTGAAAGCTGATGCACAGAGACACAATGAGACACTGGAACTCTACAGAAACAGAAAAAGCACTTTCAAAGTCAATAATGATGGGCCACATTTGAAATCACCGGACACTTGCTGATAAAGCAATCCAAACATTCGAAGAATGAGAGGGATGTTGATATCACAAAGGCCAAGAGGAGCCACATTCATTCAGCTGTTTTCTATAAACCCACAAACCATCATGCCTCACAATACTGATTTACCACAAAAATGAGTCTTGTGATAGTCCTAAACATTACAGTACACACCAGAAATGTGTCAAAATGCTGTAGCACCTGTAGTTCGATTCGTTTTTTTGTGCAGGACATCACACAGAAACACTCTTCACGTCATCCTTTCATCACAACTCCTAGTTAAACATTTTAAAAGGGGGTTAGAATAGTAGTAAAACTGAAATGTATCATCCCAACCCAACACTAAATCTTAAATCACTTCCATTATTTTTTACATTAAACAAAAAAAATTGTCCATTTAATTGATGCAGTTGTTAATGGACATCCAATCTCATACTAATAAAGTTCAAATAAATATGCATACACATGAATAATTAAACTCTATAGAGTAGTGAAATGTCTCAAAGTGACTTATTTAGTGTAACAGACTGACCAAAAAACTTTTTTTTTCATTAAATAACCCACAATGTAATAAGTCTAGATATAATGTTTGTTACATTGACACAAGCGAGCATTGTAATACTGAATCAAAGTGACTTCACATCTGAAGAGCTTGCGCACCAAATCATTTGACCACCAGCATTGGCACTAATGTTTCTCTATGATCACTTCATCTGTACGGCATGAGAACCGTGATCCTACACTAGAGGAAATGGACGGCATCTCAGTCTCAGTACAATGACTCTGAGGATGTGTTGGTTAATAGAAGTACCATCTTTTGTACACTGAACCTCAGATAAAAACTGTGATATATACAGCGCATTTACGTCAAAGTGCTTTTGCTTCAGCTCCTTTCATGAATAACACACACATCGGCTGTACTTTACACGCTGAATAGCAGCCAACAAGAAATCAAATCTACAGCTCTGTTCCAAAACCTAGCAGTTTCCTTCAAAGGCAGCATCTTAACAGTTAGGAAACCTCACAGGAAACTGATTTGAGATGTAAAGTGAGCATCCGTTTCACTGTTGACTTCAGTCCCCCTCCAACTGGGAACTTGGTGAATTGGTGTAGAGTAGAAAGAGAAGCGTCACTACAGGAAGACTCATGGAGGACACTTGCAGAGACGGAAGAGAACTGGATGACATGTGATTTGACTCTCAGACGTCAGAAAGGGATGGATGAGAACTTTAAGTCAGAGGCAAACCTCAAGTCTGGTTTCTTTCCCTTTGTACATCATAAGGTGAAGGAGGGGTCGTGTTTCCTGACTTCCTGTAGCAGGCGCTCTCGGTCAGACAGAGCTTTCTCTAGAGCTGACTGGACATCAGCGAGTCTGGACTCCAGAGGCTGAACCAACAGAGAAACAGATACATATGAGGTTCCTAGATCTGTCCAGAACTAGACTAAAGATCCATCACGATCAGTTGAAGCACAAAAACACTCCTCTGAAAACATGCTAATGGGAAAAGAGACAATTTTAGAGAGGAGTTGTAGCAATACACCTTCATCCATAAATAATACAAGACATTTAGACTTCAGCCTTCATGTAATTAAGAAGTCAATGCTACTGTTGACATTCAAGAGCCTTCTCTTGTCCTCGAAAGGAATCGTAGCCAAGCACTGGAAAATTACAATCACTTTATATCCTCTAGGCTTGAAACTGTATCAACTACAACATTTTTATTTATCTGAAAAGAACAGAAACAGACACAGACACAGACACACACACACACAGAGACACAGACACAGACACATTTAGCAGACGCTTTTATCCAAAGCAACTTACAAATGAGGACAAGAAAAGCAGTCAAAACTAACAAAAGAGCAACAACATATAAGTGCAAATGACAAGTCTCGGTTAGCCTAGCAAGGTATATGTATATATTTGATATATTTTAAATAAAGAATTTAAAAAAAGTAAAAAAAAAAACAAATATACATAAAGTAGAATTAAAATAGAATAGAAATAAAGATGGAACAGATGTGTTTTTAGTCGTTTCTTGAAGATGGTTAAGGACTCAGCTGCTCGGATTGATTTGGG